ACATTGCACCCTGACTGGCTCATCTCCTCCCTGAGACCCCTCTGCAAGGGGATCTCCAGTGGCCTACTAATGGGCTTTGGGTCTCCACTCCGCCCATTAGTAGTCGTCCGCTTTTAAGTAATGTACTAACCCATCTAACACTGGACTTCCTGATGTCATTGTCAGATCACACTGGCACAGCGGTCACAGCTACCATTGCAGTGCTCGGACGTGCCGGCACGGATCCCAGTGCTTTACACAGAGGGCTCCTTAGCCCGCGCAGCAACCCCTCCAGGGAGGTGCCACCTTTGTCTCCACTTGATAGTTATGCAAAGTGCGGTGCAGATTAAGGGACTTGATCAAGGTCCCTCAGCTGGTTGACGGCAGGGCACTCACACCTGAGCAGCCTGCTGCAGAAGGGATGCCCCCACCCCACTGTCCATTTCTTCCTGGCCGTGCCTTTTCAAATCCCCTTCACAACCAGCAGAGAAAAAATGAATGGTAGGGAACCTTGTTCGGTCACCTGCCAACAAAAGGTCCCTATTTTAAGACACGGAAGTCCGAGGTTGACAATGTCTCAATGACGTGTCTCTGAGGAGTCTTATGCGTTATTCTGCCAGCTCCCTCAGTTCTTAAATTGGAAAAGCCAGCATTTTAATGTTTGGGGTTCATGTAATAGTCACCTACCTTAAAACACAAACACACGGTGCATGAGCTGGAGCCCGCACCCCAGCCGCAGGCGCTGCTGAGCTGAGCCACAGCTGGACATGCACGCGGGGTGGGTGGGGGGCGGTGGGGGGCGTGGCTCCGCCGCTGCAGGGCTTTCAAGCGGTACGATACGGGGGGGACAGCTACATTGACCTGATGGAGCTGAAGCTGATGGTGGAGAAGCCGAGGGTCCCCCACACCCACCTGGGTCTGAAGGGCATGATCAAGGTGGACGAGGACTTGGACGGCAAGCTCCGCCTCCGCTCATTCTCCACAAGGCCGCAGCTGGGGAGCTGCAGGAGGTCAGTGGGCTGATGGCGCTGGCCACTCTCTGAGATCGATGTCGTCCTCGAGAGCGTCAAGGATGCCAAGGACTTCTCCAAAGCCAAGGTCTAAGCCTTGTCCTCTGCCAGTAAGTCTGAAGCTGAATTAAAAGCCGGGCAAGAGGAGCAGAAGCGGGAGGAAGAGAAGAGGGTGCGCAGGGCGGCATTCCAGGAGCTCAAGGCAGCTTGCAGTACATAGCCCAGCTGGCCTTGACCTTGACCTTGGCCTCTGCCTACAGCTGTGCCTTAAAGGAAGATGTGACCCTGCCCCCTCACTTTAATGGGCCCTCCTTGCCCTCAACACCCATCCACTGTCCAGTGCAAACTCGACAGCTCTCTAGTGCTAGCCGTCTTCCCTCATCCCAGTGCCGGAGCCACCCTTAGAAGCCCCTGGGAAGGCCAAGTACCCTGCTCACCACTCTCCGGCCTCCTCCCACCGCCAGCAGATGCCTCTCTGTGACCACTTGGACTTTACCATTCTGCATCCCAGCAGATGGTACAGCGACTCTTCTCTTTTGTGGTCCTCCCAGCAGATGGTGCAGTCCCGAGGGTGTGTGGTTTCACAACCGCACCCCATCTTCTTGGAGAATTGTTTGCATTCCTTCTCCTTTGTTCCCATTCACTGTTCGTGGGCTCTTGCGCAGCTGGACGCTTTGGCCTCTCCTCTTCTTCAGTGTTGGTGGCTTGAAGGGAGCCCACCTCCCACCTCCCACCTCCCACCTCAGCTCCCACAAGAAGGGACCCGAAGTCGAGAGGATGTGAGATAGACAAAACGTGGGGAGTTCGGTTCCTTCCCACCAGCCTTACTACTTCGGTGCCTTTTGCCTCCCCCTTTGATATTTTCCCCTATCACTTTTTTTTTCTATCCTTAACTCCTGTGAAAGAGTAGAATTAACAATGAGTAGAAAAATGATAGTTCAACTCTAATTCTATGCCAGTTATATTCTAGTAGACCTGACGTTCTAAAGTGACAAGCCCAGTGCCTTCCCAAACCTGAAAAGTCATGGCCATGGTCATCATCTAGCCAACTTCCAGCGTCGCTCCAAGGCTTTAAAGAGACAATCTCCTTACCTCCACTATTCAAAGAAACTAACCAACCAGCAAAAACCATGATGCTGTAAACTCTTGGCTTTGATCACAAATACAAGGGGTTGGCTGTCTTTTCCAGAAAAATAATTTCTCATGTCATATTTATTCTCTTTTGTAGCTTCTATCTTTTAGATAAAGGAACGTTCTACTATACAGCTGTTTCTTGTTAAATAAACTATCATCTCACACTAAAACAAACAAACAAATAAACAAACAAACAAAAAAGTGCTAACAATGGACTGTGTCCGAAACAGTTGTCCATCTTCCCTTGGGTATCACGTTCACAGTCTACCCAGACAGAACGCAGGATGGAGTGGACGAAGATCCGTTTTATAGGAAAGCGGCAGCTACCTTCCATTTCCAAATGTAACTCGGACTTTGCTGCAATCCCCACCAAGTTTTCTTTCCTCAGTAAGTAGAAACCTCAGGAAATAATTGTGCTACGTCAACTCGTAGCACAGCACCTAACACATGGTAACATTCAATTAATGTTTGTGGACATCTTCTGAACAACGGCATAATTACAATCCCAGAAATCTTTAAAAGGAACAACAGCTGTGCTACTAGCAATTTTGCCTGACTTTTCACGAGAAGGTCAGACTTCAACTACAATTCAAAAAGTCTGAGGAAAAAATGGAATGAAAAGATAATGGAATTTTTCTATGGATACTTTGAAGCCCCTTGGTATATTAAAAATTATTCAGAATAAAAGAATATCAAGCAAAGAATCCCCATAGCTTTTTTACAGGTCCACCACTAGACTACAGGGCATATCCTCACAATTGTTAAAAACAGCCTCACCTTTCCTACACAACTTGACCTAGAAATTCTTTTAGTCTTAATTCTCTTCAAAGTGCCCTTTAGGAATTTATATACATCAGCTCAATAACCTTCTAAATGAGGTGCTTTCCTCATCATCACTTCCATTATCCTGACAAAATATGCTCTCCCATAGTAAATACTGGTTATTTTCCACTCAAATCAGTGACGACTCATGGAGATGTGGGTAGTTGGTGGGAAGAACACAATTTTCTCTGCCATCGTCTCTACCTGAAACACCCCCCCCCTGCCCCCCCTCCCAGATCATGTAAGACGGGCGGGCGCAGGTGAGAGGCATGAAAGCAGTAGGGATGGACAAAAACATGTTAGCTAATTGTTCATAAAATGATCAAGACTGGTCTTCGGACCAAACAGAAAGCAACCCGTGCATGCATGGGCACAATAGATCACAAGATAAATAGGATTCTCTATTGACTGAGGATGTGGTTAATAATAAATACAATGGGGCTTCAAAAAAAGTCCCTGGAAAAATTCCATTGCCGTTCAGTTTCATCTTTCCATTGACTTTTTGGAAACTCACTGCCATCAAGTCTATTTTCACTCCTAGTGACAGGGCTGGACCGACCTATGGGCTTTTGAACCTGTACACCTCGACCCATGTAGAAAGCCTCATCTTTCTTGTAGGCTGGTGGATTGTCATCTCAAGGTTAGCAGCTCAACACTGAAGCACTACACCACCACGGCTCCTCCGTTTGAAGCTCCCTTACATTCGTAGCACGCACACGCTTAGTTTAGAAATCCACCAGAAAATGGAAAACTATAATTCATATAGTTTAAACAGCAAGCTACAGTGATTTAGAAAAATGCTATTGTTTGCGCTGGACAGACAGATGAAAATGCCTTTTACATCTATTAACCTTAGTTGACGCTCACTAATCTCTGTGAGGTACTTAAGTGTTTCCCTCATTTTATACTTCAAGAAGGCTCAAATGGGCTTAAGGGGAGATGCACGTGGTGATACAAGATTAGATGTTATAAGCTGGGATTTACTGTACCCAGAATAATTTGAGGCCTTACTTTGCTATATGTCACTATAAAGAAAAACCTTTGAACCTGCGATTATCCACTGCCATTGAGATAGTTTATTGTGTCAGCCTGGCTGATAAACACAGGTGGGATTGACTGAAGGGCAGAGAGATAAATGACTTGGTGAGCCTTACCTTTATCTCTCGCTCTGTGATCATCGGACCAGTGTGTGGCTGCCTTGCTTGTTCTGTGCCTCAATTTAAAGGCTACACTGCCTGTGGGACGCCTAGCCTGTGGACTGTGTTGCTGTAAGTTGAGGTCCCTTTAAGACTTCTCTGGAGCTGGGGACTGGCGGTTGGTGACCTGCCTTGTGATTGGCTGCTGTGCTGACATAGCCTCGCTCTCTCTACAAATAGAGGAAGATCTGGCACCAGACAGACTTGAAGGACTGCTAGTCTCTCAACTTTCTCTCATGGACGTGAGTTGTACTAAGCCATTTGTAGTGCTTTCTAATTTAACTGTTTCTTTTTTGTATTATCTATTTATCTGTATATGATTTAACGGTTCATTTCTCGTTATATATGTAATTATCTTTATAAATAAATAAATTATCAGGAATTTGGTTTTATCTCTCTAGAGAACCCTGTCTAACACAGCCATCAAAGTCAATTCTGACTCTTAGCAACCCAATACGGGTTTCTGAAGCAGCAAATCTTTACCAGCGCAGTCAGCCTCATCTTCCTTCTGTGGGACAGCTGGGGGGTTTGAAGTGAGAAGCCCTCAGCTTGAACTTGAGGAGCAACCTAGAGTCTGTTTGGAGAGCCCACGAGAGTTTCTTAGAGCAGATTGCAACTTTCTTTTTGTAAACTCTTTATCTGGTTTTTACACAAAATCTGTAATTTGTTATTCAATAAGAGCTGGAATTGACTCAAAGGCAATTAGTTTAGTTGGTTTTATAGTTATGATCATCCACTTTTCAAAGCACACCGTTGTAAGCCTTCACCCAATTCGCCCTGTTTTAAAAAGTAGAAAACAAAGGCACATTGTCAAAATACTGCATTGCAACCCTGTTAAACAGGACAGGGACACTGCATTCCCCTCAAGAAGCACCCGTTGTGTGACTGTGATGGATTCAAGCCCTCTGGGCCTCAATTTCCTCATCTGAAAAATGGCGAGATGCTTTATTTAGTACCGGCGATATTCCATGCACCAAGTTCTTTATGTATATCAACTTAATCCTCCACAACCTTTGGGGTAAACACAATTATCTTTATCTCACAGCTGAGAAAACTGGGGTTCAAGGTAAAAAAGCAAGTATGAAATAAAACCTGACTCCAGGCCAGGCAGTCTGCTTTATTACAGTCATTACTCTCAGCTCAGCTACACTGTGACATTTTGTATGAGGATCGAGAAGCTGCTGCAGGGTGCTTAGCAAAACGCTGGGCACAGTGAGCACTCAAGATGTATATACTGGCATCAAGTAGTGTGTATTTCTACTTGGTAATGAAACATATACACAAACGCAAGTGTACACACACACATTATCACAAATATGCAGGTGTATTTAAGGTACGGCAGCTACGCAAGTGATATGCCCTGTGTCACTTGAAGTGGGTGGGCACCACTGAGCAGTTTCTATTAGTCCAGAGCAGCTCAATGTCCTTCCTCGAAGCATGGTATATGGGGTGAATCTACAGGCGTGCCAGAGGAGGCATGGCATGGTATTCCAAGGTGGCACAAATATGAAAGGCATCTGATTGAGGAAGCCAGAAAAGATGGGGCGAGGGGCTTCTACTAATGCGCTGTTGCTATTCATTTTGAAGTGAGGGAAGGGTGCAACTTAGAAACTGGTCCTAGGGACTTGTTACCCTCGCCATGCCCCTCCAAACTCAAACGGGCTGCCATTCGGTCAGTTCTGAGTACACCCCTACAGGGGCTAAATGCCATGCTTTCCAAAGAACAGTCTGACCAAAGTTTTGATTTTCATTCTAGTGCTTGAGAGTGAACTTAAGAGTATATGATGTTAATTATACTAAATTATAACATAATATTCTAAGTGAGCCAGGCTTTAATTTAAAAGTATGTGTTATTAATAATAACTAGCACAACTAAAAAAATAAAGAAATCCTCCAAGTATACAAAGATGTAGCTTATGACAAGTGGTATCTGGACTATATTAATATTTCCAAGAAGATACTTTTCTTTTTTTCTTTAAGATACTTTTCTTATTCTAATACTTTAATAACAAAGAGCATTCAAGTCAAAATTTATTTTTACTATATATTGGGAAGTGAATACATAAAATACTGCTTTGATAGGTATTTCTGCATCATTGTAAATATGAGGCTTCAAAAGTTCATGGAAAATTGAAATGGAAAGAGAATGAATTTTTTTCCCATCAACTTTTTGAAACCCTCTTGTATGAGCCTAGTCTATACCTGTAACTATAAACTTTGTAACATTACAAAAGGAATACAGCTTCTGCCATTTGGATAGAAAAGAAAAGTGGTGCCACTCTAAAACACACACATGCACACACGCACGCACGGAATTGAAGCACGGAAAAAAAATATTAGTATGTATGATGTAACTAATAAGACTGGCATTTGACACATCAACTCTGGCCAATTTTAGACAACTGACATGTTTTATCAGAGCTATCCATACCTGTTACACAGTTTCCAAGAAGTTGAAACTTGACATGTATCTTATAAATTATATGTTTATATAACCTAACTGTTCCACAATTTTGAGTGTACTAATTTGTGCAATACCTAAGAAACAAACATCATGGTTTTAATAAATTCAGCGTGCAGGGTCAGCCATGAACCCTGTTTTATTTAATAGGATGCTACTAGTGAATTTGGGGTTCACAAAATGTTAAAATAGCACTGACAGGTCTCATATTGAACTCGAGTTGGAAGAGGCAGATCATCTCAAAACAGTCATGAGCCAAAGGAACCTGAGCAGCTGTGAGAACTGTTTATTTGTGGTCTGAGCTTAGAAACTACAGATGGTAGTTTAAGAGAACATTTTGAGAAATGGGCACACTCAGATTGTGTGGTGATGAGAGACCCCCCAAACAAAATGCTCCAGGGGCTTTGGTATTGTGATTTCCTCTTGTGTTGAAGAGGTGGATGCAGCAGGGTGTGCCTGACCCACAAGGTTGGTGGGCGTGTAGTGGAACCAAAGAGAGCTGTTTCAAGAGAGGATTCCATGAAGCTTGGTGCCCATTTAACAGTGAAGGAAATTTTTGTTGGTGGCATAAAAGAAGACACAGAAGAATATAATTTCAGAGACTACTTTGAAAAGTACGGCAAGATTGAAACCATAGACGTCATGGAGCACAGGCAGAGTGGAAAAAAGGGAGGATTTGCCTGTGTAACCTTTGATGATCACGATACAGTTGATAACATTGTTGTGCAGAATACCCCACTTCTAATGGGCGTGATTGTGAAGTGAAAAGGGCCCTTTCCAAACGAGAGATGCAGTCTGCTGGACCACAGAGAGGTCGTGGAGGTGGGTGGGGAAACTTTGGTGGAAGAGGAGGCTGTGGTGGTGGAGGTGGTGGCAGCAGAGGGAGTTATGGATGAGGTGATGGTGGTTATAATGGATTTGGAGGTGATGGTGACAATTATGGCAGTGGAGGACCAGGATACGGAACCAAGGTGGTGGATATGGTGGTGGAGGCGGAGGTGGATGATGGTTACAATGAGGAAGGAAATTTGGCGGTGGTAACTATGGTGGTGGTGGGAACTATAATGATTTTGGAAATTACAGTGGACAATGACAATCAAATTATGGGCCCATGAAAGGGAGCAGTTTGGTGGAAGAAGCTCTGGCAGTCCTTACGGTGGTGGTTATGGATCTGGTGGTGGAAGTGGCGGTCGCAGAAGGTTCTAAAACTTCAGAAGAAAGGGGCTCCAGTTATAAGCAGGAGAGAGAGCGAGGCGCTGCCAGGAAAGCTGCAGGTTACCCCGAGACAGTCGTCCCAAATGCATCAGAGGAACTGTCAAAATCCGCCACAGAAGGACTGATGATCCATAGTCAGGAAGTTACTGCAGCTTCAACAGGAAGCCCTTCCTGCTCAGGACTGTCGTAGCCAGAGTTTGCAAAAAGTGCAGCTATTGATGGATGCAATGGAGTGTCAATGAGATGCACATTCTGTTGTAGCTTTGTTTCTTTCTTTTCATGCATCAGGTATATTGCCCTGTAAACTGTGGTAGTGGTACCAGGAATAAAAAATTAAGGAATTTTTAACTTAAAAAAAAAAAAAAGCACAGACATTATAGACAGTGAAAGATTTTATTATTTTAACTTTCATCCAAACACACCCCATTGCTGAAAAACATAAAAGCATGCATATTGATGGCATTCTTACAAAGAAAAAACTATGTAATAACTAAGCTGAAAATAAACAATAATACAAATAAAAGCATAAATGATATTATATGAAAAAGGTTTACAGGAAAGCACAGGGCTTCTAATTTTAGAAAAAATAAATGTAAGAAAATATCAATGCATGTCAAGGAAAGGCTTCTAATTTTCCACACATTCTGATAAGAAGATTTGTAACTAACATTTATAGACCTCTTGTGAAAAGAACAGAAGTATAATCAAAAGAAGCATGAGGTGATTTTATGCCTGCTTAGTCAGTTATAACTCCCACAATTCCAGTGGCATTACATCAGAAAATGTAAAGTTAGAGCATATCCATCATGTTCAAAACAGTTATACAAGTTACATGATTTTCTGATCTAGTTAGAAATAGGTTCTAACATTAGGACTGTTAAAAACTGCTATTTAACAAAAGACATGGAATTTATCTAAATTTCACTTCACAAGAGAAAATTACACTTTGACATGAGAGCGCTTTTCAAAAGTTTTAGCTATGCCTTATTCATAATTAGACCAACTGTATCTTGTATACATGTGTGTACATGAATGTGGGTAATACATCCTCACACCCACACTGATTCACCGCACACAGCACACCAAAGGTGTTGCTTGCAATGGCTCCGCTCTGTTTTGGGAGAAGCAATGTAGCACAGACAACACTTCCCTTATTCATTGTATCAGCAGCCAATGGGTGTGTTTTCACTGGGTCATTGACAATTTTGCAACAAAATCCATTAGCAGTATCTTATTATCTTAAAAGACTAGCAAAATTTAAGTGATAAAATCGAGCAAAACACATTTTTAAAAGAGCTCTTCATCCACATTTTTCCATGATTCAAAATCGTGTAATTTGGTTCCTGGGACGTAGATCTCGTTTTGAGACAATGTATGTTAATCACGTAGCCCATTAAAATTAATGGAAATAAGCAAGTTCACTCCATCCTGTTGAATTAAATCACTGACTTGACGAAGGGAGGTTTCTTGACATGAGGCAAATAGCCGGTGAAACTTGCTTACAAGAGTTTGACTTTCAAACCGAACAAATACTGGTTGGTTGTATACTTCTTCTGAGCAAGTCTACTGGGTAAGCCATTGAAGCCATTGAACAGCACCGATGACTTGAATCCAAATGAGAAGAACAAGAGTAACAGTGCAAGTCTACATCATGATAACATTAAAAATGATTTTTTGGATTAAATACATTGTCAAATCAAAGAGCAACAGGCAAAAGGCACATGCTAGTGAATCTAGTTGGAACATTTGAAGGCTTCTCCTTCAAATATCTCTGAACCCAGGGTCCAGTAAAAGTTTACACTGATTATTTTGATGTGAAAAAAAATAACAAGCTATCTTACTGATCTTGAATACTTATGGCACAGATGTTGCAAAGTACTATTAGCTTAACTAAAATGTTTTTACAAGTTGGGCAATTTAAAGTTCTGCTAGATCAAATCTGTCACAATTTTAACTTAAATGTAATTCTCCTAATTTAAACATTCTTTTGTGCACAGTACAGCATGTGCAAATTAAGCTGTCTTAATAAGTATTAGAAATGTTAAATTACTTTGCAATATAAAAACACGAAGTTAGCTAAAAATGCACTACAATAAAAACATGTGCAAACAGAGCTTCTTCCCCACGAACATTGTTTTGCATTTTTCTTGGAATATTTTGATACTTAATACAATTTCTCTGATTGACTGACTTTGAGAAACTAAGCAAAAAGGAAACTATTACATGTGTGCAAGATACTAGATACTTTTGTGATAAGAATTTGGGGTCAGTTGTAAAAAATAAAATATAACACGGTGATTGATACATACTGCACATTGCCAGTTAAATACAGCCAGCTGTAACAAATTGTTACAGCCTTAGCAACCCCTTGCAGTTGACACTAGTTCATGGGAAATGCAAAGTAAAGCATACATTTCATTTAGCTTTGACCTGTCCAGCAACATCAGCACTAAAGTTGTAAAACAATGTATTGCCCAAGACCAACTGCATACAGGCTTTAGTCAGAAATTCTATTTTACCCAATGTTCAATCAACAAGGCTTTATTTACACTTCTAGTAAACTCAGGAAACAATTTGATGTAATGTGCAGCCACCAATAATAGAAAGTGTAGCACGTTCTACTGAATGGCGATGGCTACTTCTTTATACTAACCCATAAGCAGCCAATCAGTGTTCCATATATCCATGTTCTCACATACAGCCTCCTTCCGCTATCTGTCATCAGCATAACCGCAGTCAAACCAGTTAAGATTAGTACTGATGGCAAAGTCTTCCTAAGGCTTAGTTTGGAATTAACACTTTTCCCAGGAAATCTGTTTCTTCTCTCTGGATCCACTGAATCATAGAATTCTATAAGCATCCTATGCCAGAATGAAATAAACAAAGAAAAGGCCAAGTTTCAGTTTTAGTCATCTCAATATTTCAATTCAACATATTCCTAATGGTTGACAATTCTGTGCAAGTCCTTGGAAATTATCAGAAACCATATAAGGAGTTTTCTAAGACTTTTGAAATAGCTTTAAATGTCCTATGATTAAACTCACTGCCAACAAGTCTTTTCCAACTCTTGGCGACCCTGGAGTGCAAGGGAAAACTCCTTTTGTGGGTTTCTGAACCTGTAAACCTCTACTGGAGCAGAAAGCCTCATCTCTCTCCCTTGGGAGAGCTGGTGGGTTTGAATTCCAGATCTTCTGGTTAGCAGTCCAACATACTAGCCACTTAGGCCACCAGCGCTCTATATTCTGATTAGCATATATGTAAATTATACCTGTGAAAAGACTGTAAACAACACAAACCGTTTTGGACTTTTAACTTTAGGTTTATAAAATCTTATAATGATCTCCCTCAGACTCGAGTAAGCAAAAGCTCCACTCAGCTTCTCCTGTGCTTTCCCTCCCTCAGGCCTGCTTGTTCCTGCAGCTTCCACTCTAAACAAGCGAAAAGAGGAGCACGTTGTAAAAATCATACAGTTTCTGAAAAATCTATGTAATGGAATGATGAGAGCCAGTGAAAAAGGTCATAGCTAACTTATTTCCCTCTTATTAAAAGTGTAAAAAATAGCAAATATTAACGTGCAGAAAAGGAAAGCCCTGTCTTGCTTTATAAATCACATTCCTTAGAAATAACCATTGTTTAGAAATGTCCAGACACATACTAAATACACAGAAGCACATGTAAGATAAAATGGCAACCAAGTATGTATTATTATTCAGTATTTTTAAAAGAATGTATTTTCATACATAGTTCTTTTAAAATTTCCTCCATGGAGGAAATGTTCTGAGAATGATGAGGGCAATGAATGTGCAAATGCGCTTTACACAATTGATGTGTGTATGGCTTGTGATAAGAGTTGTATGAGCCCCTAATAAAATGATAAAAAAAAAAAAGAAAAAAATTTTCCTCCACGGCCAGAAGGAACTGAATGGCACAGTTAATAAATGATGCACAACTGAGAGTAAGTGAAATATGGAAACAATTCATGCACTGATTACACATTTATAAATAGAAGTTATTTATACACTACCTATTAAACAAAAATAGTTCACAGGGAACATCTGTAATAAAACAAAGAAAGGGAGAACAGTGCGAGTCTTCACAGAAGAATCCGGTTAGGAGAATAAAATATTTGGGTATATTTTCTTTTTTTTTAACCGTTTTATTAGGGGCTCATACAATTCATTATCGCAATCCATACATACATCAATTGTGTAAAGCACATTTGTACATTCATTGCCCTCATCATTCTCAAAACATTTGCTCTCCACCTAAGCCCCT